CTTCTTCTTCTTTCTTTCTCTTCTTCTTCCTTCTTCTTCTTCTTCCCTTCTCTTCTTCTTTCTTCTTCTTCTTTTTTCCTTTCTCTTTCTCCTTCTTTCTTCTCTTCTTCTTCTTCTTTTTCTTCTTCTTCTTCTTCTTTTCTTCTTTCTTCTCTTTCTTCTTCTGCTTCTTCTTCTTCTTCTTCTTTCTTCTCCTCTCGCTTCTTCTTCTTTTCTTCTCTTCTCTTTCTTCTTCTTCTCTCTTCTTCTTCTTTCTTCCTTCCTTCTTCTTCTTCTTCTTCTTCTTTCTTCTTTCTCTTCTTCTTCTTCTTCTTCTTCTTCTTCTTCTCTTCTCTTCTTCTTCTTTCTTCTTCTTCTTCTTTCCTTCTTCTTCCTTCTTTTTTTTCTTCTCTTCTCTTCTTGTCCTTCTTCTCTTCTTCTTCTTCTTCTCTTCTTTCTTCTTCTTCTCTTCTTCTTCTCTCTTCTTCTTCTTCTTCTCTTCTTCTTTCTTCTTCTTTCTTTTCTTCTTTTCTTCTTCTTCTTCTTTTTTTCTTTCTTCTTCTTTCTTCTTCTTCTTTCTTCTTCTTCTTTCTTCTTCTTCTTCTTCCTCTTCTTCTTCTTCTTCTTCTCTTCTTCTTCTTCTTCCTTTCTTCTTCTTCTCTCCCTTCTCTTCTTCTTCTTCTTCTTCTTCTTTTCTTCTTTCTTTTTCTTCTTTCTTCTTCTTCTTCTTTCTTCTTCTCTTCTTCTTTCTTTCTTCTTTTCTCTTCTTCTTCTCTTCTTCTTTCTCTTCTTCTTTTTTCTTCTTCTTTCTTCTTCTCTCTTCTTTTTTCTTCTTCTTCTTCTTCTTTCTTCTTCTCTTTCTTCTTCCTTTCTTCTTCTTCTTTTTTCTCTTTCTTCTTCTTCTTTCTTATGTTCCCTTTCTTCTCTTCTTCTCTTCTTCTTCCCCTTCTTCCTTTTTCTTCTTCTTTCTTCTTCTTCTTCTTTCTTTTCTTCTTCTTTTCTTCTTCTTCTTCTTTTCTCTCTTCTTCTCTTTTCTTCTTCTTTCTTTTCTTTATCTTCTTCTTCTCTTCTTTCTTTCTTCTTTTTCTTTTTCTTCTTCTTCTTCCTTCTTCTTCTTTCTTCTTCCTTTTTCTCTTTCTTCTTTTTCTTTCGCTTTCTTCTTCTTCTTTCTTTCTTCTGCTTCTTTCTTCTCTTTCTTCTTCTTCTTCTTCTTCTTTCTTCTTTTTCTCTTTCTCTTCTTCTTTCTTCTTCTTCTTCTTTTCTTCTTTCTTTCTTTTCTTCTTCTTTCTTCTTCCTTCTTCCTTCTTCCTTTCTCTTCTCTTTCTTCTTCTTCTTCTTCTTCTTCTTCTTCGCTCTTTCTTTTCTTCTTCTTCTTCTCCTATTCTCGCCCTTCTTCTTTCTTTTTTTTCCTTTTTCTTTTTTCCTTCTTTGTTTTCCCGTTATGGAAAGGGGAACAAAACCTTTTTTTTAAAACCTTTTCCCTCAGTAGTTAAATTTTTTTATTTTTTTCACAGTAAACCCCCGAAAAATTTCCCAAGTACTTTCGATCGAAATCCCCGGCTGGGGGGGTGCGTTTTGAAATTTTTAAACATGGTATGGGGGGGTTTGCAGGTTTGACCCAGACCCAAAATGGGTTTCCGGATTGTTTTTTTTTTTTTTTTTTTTTTTTATGGGGAAGTAAAAAACGGCCGGCGTTTTAAAGCTGACCACATTATTCCAACCCCAATTTCCGATTGGTATTTAATAATATAAAAGTTTTCCCTATGCCCAAAGCGCCTAAAGGCCAAAAAGGGGTCTTTACTTCACACTGGGGTCTGGGATCCTGAAAGTTGGGAGCCACTGATCTTTGGTCCCACCCTACCACGTTTCTCGAGGCATGGCGTCCCTCTTAACGCCAAAAACTTAAACAGTGTAGATCCAATTCTTGTCTTGTGGATACTTCTCTCTATATTAATGGGATAATCATGACTTTCATTTGACCATGTCCCACTGTAGTTTGGGCCACACTGACTTTCTGGGAGCATAATGTCCTTGGTTGGCCCTACTCCCCTGCAGTTCACATGCTTGGCCTGTGAACATTTTCTGCAGTACGCAATGAAGTGCTTTGGCCTTCGTTTGATCTAACTCGATATTGTTCATGTGCTTGACTTGTGTACAGTTCTCATAGGATGTCGGGGAGCAACATGACCTTCATTTGACCCTACCCCTTTGTAGTTCAGATCCTTGCTCAAAGTCTACATACAATGTCTGAAAGTTCAGTGACCTTCATTCGAGCCCACTCCACTTCTGTTCAGATACTTGATTTGTGGATAGTTCCTAGGTAACGTTTGTGAACACACTGGTTTTTGTTCGACCCTACACCGCTGTAGTTCAGATGCTTGACATCTAGACAACTCCGCCAGTATGCCCATCGTTTGATCCCACACCGCTGTAGTTCAGATGCTTGACTTCTGGACAACTGCCCCAGTATGCCCATCGTTTGATCCCACACCGCTGTAGTTCAGATGCTTGACTTCTGGACAACTCCCCCAGTATGCCCATCGTTTGATCCCACACCGCTGTAGTTCAGATGCTTGACATCTAGACAACTGCCCCAGTATGCCCATCTTTTGATCCCACACCGCTGTAGTTCAGATGCTTGACTTCTGGACAACTCCCCCAGTATGCCCATCGTTTGATCCCACACCGCTGTAGTTCAGATGCTTGACATCTAGACAACTGCCCCAGTATGCCCATCGTTTGATCCCACACCGCTGTAGTTCAGATGCTTGACTTCTGGACAACTCCCCCAGTATGCCCATCGTTTGATCCCACACCGCTGTAGTTCAGATGCTTGACTTCTGGACAACTCCCCCAGTATGCCCATCGTTTGATCCCACACCGCTGTAATTCAGATGCTTGACTTCTGGACAACTCACCCAGTATGCCCATCGTTTGGTCCCACACCGCTGTAATTCAGATGCTTGACTTCTGGACAACTCCCCCAGTATGCCCATCGTTTGATCCCACACCGCTGTAGTTCAGATGCTTGACTTCTGGACAACTCTCCCAGTATGCCCATCGTTTGATCCCACACCGCTGTAGTTCAGATGCTTGACTTCTGGACAACTCTCCCAGTATGCCCATCGTTTGATCCCACACCGCTGTAGTTCAGATGCTTGACATCTAGACAACTGCCCCAGTATGCCCATCTTTTGATCCCACACCGCTGTAGTTCAGATGCTTGACTTCTGGACAACTCCCCCAGTATGCCCATCGTTTGATCCCACACCGCTGTAGTTCAGATGCTTGACTTCTGGACAACTCCCCCAGTATGCCCATCGTTTGATCCCACACCGCTGTAGTTCAGATGCTTGACATCTAGACAACTGCCCCAGTATGCCCATCGTTTGATCCCACACCGCTGTAGTTCAGATGCTTGACATCTAGACAACTGCCCCAGTATGCCCATCGTTTGATCCCACACCGCTGTAGTTCAGATGCTTGACTTCTGGACAACTCTCCCAGTATGCCCATCGTTTAATCCCACACCGCTGTAGTTCAGATGCTTGACTTCTGGACAACTCCCCCAGTATGCCCATCGTTTGATCCCACACCGCTGTAGTTCAGATGCTTGACTTCTGGACAACTGCCCCAGTATGCCCATTGTTTGATCCCACACCGCTGTAGTTCAGATGCTTGACTTCTGGACAACTCCCCCAGTATACCCATCCTTTGATCCCACACCGCTGTAGTTCAGATGCTTGACTTCTGGACAACTCTCCCAGTATGCCCATCGTTTGGTCCCACACCGCTGTAGTTCAGATGCTTGACTTCTGGACAACTCCCCCAGTATGCCCATCGTTTGGTCCCACACCGCTGTAGTTCAGATGCTTGACTTCTGGACAACTCCCCCAGTATGCCCATCGTTTGATCCCACACCGCTGTAATTCAGATGCTTGACTTCTGGACAACTCACCCAGTATGCCCATCGTTTGATCCCACACCGCTGTAGTTCAGATGCTTGACTTCTGGACAACTCTCCCAGTATGCCCATCGTTTGATCCCACACCGCTGTAGTTCAGTGTCTTATCATGTTCACAGTTTCCGGCATGTGGATGAGAGCACCATGGCCACCTTCTAGACTTCCCCAGAATAAAAACAGGAGCCCCACTAGAACCAGTGCAGGTAGCTGTAGTGTATATATAATGTGTAAAATGGTCATGCATCTTTAGCTCCTCCCTAAGCCTAAACCTCCCAACACTTATCTTCTTACTACACCCATGAGGGTGCGATACAATAACCGCTAGGTTCAGATGGTCATCAGTACTATCTGGTGGGTAATTGCTCCAGACTTTCTCATGCAGTTCACGGTTGTCTTCAATAAGTTTAGCAAACATCTCAGGATGACACTTATCACACACAAGAAATGTCAAATCACACCAGTCTCCTTGAATATCACTGACAGCGCGAATCGCGCCACTAAAAGTGAGCGCAGTTGGGCAATACTCCACATCCAGGCCATCATTGTAGAAGAAAGTGCACTCTGTATGTCTAGCCTCGTCAACATCAAAGACAACATGTGCCGCCGTTCTTATCGTGAATTCTGCCTTTAGGGCGCTAGGAACCGTGGAAAAGCTGCAGTCCTTACCAGAACAACTTCCGTTCTGAAGTGTTCCATATATGTGTACTTTCCTTAACCAGCCGCTTCCTGCTCTCATTACATCAGCTCCTTTGTATTCAGCGAACGGGTACGGTCTGTTTGTGTTTATATCAAACAATGGTCTGTTACTACTTATGTGGGTAACCGTTACAAGAACAACCAGTTTTCCCAAAGACTGAACACATTGTACCACGTGGCTTTCTTGGTAGCGCAGGGGCAGACAATCAATAGTGAACTTGTCAACGGGAATGAAGTCTTTGTGGTCTGGATTCTTTTCACATAGGGTATAATCCTTGAACAGACAGCCCTCACCTCTAAAAGACACTTGACATTCGTGTGACCCTGAAAATAGAAACAACAAAACAAAAATGCAAAGCATGATTTGATTTGATTTGATTCAAGAACCGACATCACAGCACTCGGGGCATTCCCATAAGCGCCCCGTCTCTATCTTCAGCATCCGATACCAATGGCGCCAGTAGCATTCTGACTAAACGTCCGTCTTGCCTTTCCTCTGAGCCTCGAGCATCTGACAAAACCTCTCGTCAATCCCAACTGCATTAGTCTCACCACAATGTGGAGATCAATCTGCTCCTCCGCACTGTACACGCTCTCCCACAAGGCACAAACCACGTCTGCTTTAACATGCATCAGTATTCCACCAAGCTGTGCAGAGCCAGAAAGTCTCTCCGCCTATTCATTTCCTAATACACTGGCATGGCTTGGTGAAAAAATCCAGACAATACTCCTAACCCGTGTCTTCCGTAGCGAGGCATGCCACTCTGCACGAAGCATGCCTTTCCTGATCTTCCTCAGCATGCTTTCTGAGTCAGTTACAATCACGATGTGTGTGTGTCGTGTTCTTTAGCCAGCGGTGTTGTGGTATTATATGCTAGGCTCTCCAGCACCACATGTCGACCATCAACTTTTTACAAGAAACCCCAAGCACTTCTTTTGCCTCTTGACACTGAACCGTCTTAGAGCATTAGAGCATTTGGACTCCCTATGTTTTCCGACTGGTTTAGGGGTAAATTTTTATATGAAAATTTGACATAGTATAGTGGGTCTATGATGTTATCATGATCTGAGCATTGAAGAGAACTGGCTCATAAACAGCACCCTGCCCTGAAAGCTGAGATATTCGGGACATTTTAAACGCCATGACGGCGTGACAGGTGACAGGTGACATGTGACAGGTGACATTTAACAGGTGACAGGTGACATGTGGTGCAGCTTCCTGAAGACGAGGCAAAAGCGAATCTCTGCGAACATGGATACAGGAAGCCGAAGATGCATTGGCTAAGAAAGCACATAGGGCTGGATAAAGAGAGTATTTTAGGCGTGCTGAGACGAGAAAGACGTTTCTTAGAAGACCTTCTGATTGACGCTGAGGACAGTGGTAAATATGTCTGCACTCCGAGCTCATTCTTGAGACAATAATCTCATAGACTGCAGTTCTGGAGAACCCTTTTCACGCCTTCAGTTGTAATTGGCACTTATCCCTAAACATATTTTGTAATTGACACATATCCCTAAACTTATATTTTGTAATTGACACATATCCCTAAACATTTTTTGTGAATGACACATATCCTTAAACTTATATTTTGTAATTGGCACATATCCCTAAACATTTTTTTGTAATTGACACATATCCCTAAACTTATATTTTTTAATTGGCACATATTCCTAAACATTTTTTGTAATTGACACACATCCCTAAACTTATATTTTGTAATTGGCACATATCCCTAAACTTATATTTTGTAACTGGCACATATTCCTAAACTTATATTTTGTAATTGAAACATATCCCTTAACTTATATTTTGTAATTGGCGCATATCCCTTAACATTTTTTGTAATTGACACATATTCCTAAACTTATATTTTGTAATTGGCACATATCCCTAAACATTTTTTTAATGGGCACATATCTCCAAACATATTTTGTAATTGGCACATATCCCTAAACATATTTTGTAACTGACACATATCCCTAAACATATTTTGTACTTGGCACATATCCCTAAACATCTTTTGTAATTGGCACATATTCCTAAACATATTTTGATAGACCAATCAGCACTCGATGAGTATTGAGGTGGACATCCTACCAGCCGCCTTTACTTCCCATGACTTTTACCTTGTACACATTTAGGGCTGGGTCGACCTGGAAGCCAAAAGAGATTTACAAAAACAAAAAAGTCCTGCTTCTTTCAGATTTGAACTCACAACCCTCGGATCCGCAGGCGAATATCTTACCACTACACCACGGCGGCTCATTAGTCCTGAAGTTGGAAACACTTTCGGGTTAACTTTTCAAAAGTGATATGATATTATAAAGATCGTTAGAGCTCTTGGGTTAACCCACTTCTTCTTCTTCTACTTCTGCTTCTTCTTCTTCTTCTTCTTCTTCTTCTTCTTCTTCTTCTTCTTCTTCTTCTTCTTCTTCTTCTTCTTCTTCTTCTTCTTCTTCTTCTTCTTCTTCTTCTTCTTCTTCTTCTTCTTCTTCTTCTTCTTCTTCTTCTTCTTCTTCTTCTTCTTCTTCTTCTTCTTCTTCTGTTTCTTCTTCTTATTCTTCTTCTTCTTCTTCTTCTTCTTCTTCTTCTTCAGCGTTCCGAGCCCTTGAGGTTTATAGCTGCAGATATCACCCGCCTCCACTCATCTCTCTGGTTGGCTTTCTCTTTTCAGCTGTTGACACCAAGTGTTTGCAGGTATGTCTGGACGTTATCTTTCAATCGTCTTTTTGGTCTGCCTAGTGATCAACGATCATTTAGCTCCTTTGTGAATACAGATGTTACTTCTCTATCACCTGACAGTCTCTCAATATGCCGAAGTCGTTTCAGTCCATTAGATCTCACGATGCCAGTGATCAATGGTGATTTAAACAGATTATAAATTCCGTTGTTGCTTCTCACTCTAAATTCCCATGTTTGCATCTGTGATGGCTCCACAGATTGTTCGTAATACTCTAGGTTTATCCACACATACAGAAATTGTTAACAAATATTTACCAGAACATTGTTAACTTGTCTGGGAAGGTAACACCAAAAAGAAGCAGAAATGCATACACAAAAAGTACATTGGGGGGGAGGGGGTGGGGGTGTTAGGCGCTAAAAGGGTTGGGTGGGGTTCAGCCGCTTAACATGTTTTGAATAGACCCCGCCGCCCTCCGACAAGCATGTCGTAAAAGGCAACAAGTTTAGAGTTAGTTGAAATCGGAGGTTTTGGACCAGAAGGCGCAGATATCACATCGTATCTGTAAACCACAACATAAGGTTCTAACAGAATTTTTTCGAACAAACCCTTTAAAAGAAAAAGAAGCAGGAGGTGAATGCGGCGGAAGTGGTACCAACTTAACACAACACAAAGACTGGAATCCATGACGCACAAATAAAACTTTTGTTGTAATTCCTGTCTGTCTGTGAGTGCACGCGTGAGTGCGTGTGTGCGTGCGTGCGTGCGTGCTTGCGTGCGTGCGTGCGTGCGTGTGTGTGTGTGACCTTTCCTGTTATCTACAATTCTCGAGGCATGGCGTCCGCCTCGAGTGCTGGAGGTCGCGGATTCAAGCCCCGGTAAAGGCTGGGATTTTTTCACTTGGACTTCTAGTAATTTTCCCTGGTATATATTTTAACAGCACTTGGTGTGTGATTTGGTCAGCATCATGCCGGCCGCCTTTACTGCCCAGGACCGCACCTGGTACCCACTCAAGGCTGAGTCGACCTGGGAGCCTAGGTCATTTTTGAAAAAAAGTGCGGCCCTCGTCAGGAACTGAACCCACGACCTTCCGATCCGCAGGCGAGCGTCTAGCCGTTAGACCACAACGGCTTACAATGCTCGTCATGGATGTGCAGGTAATATATTTCCAGTTACGCCAAAAGCCACGACGAAAATATTAGGAGAAAAAACAAGTGGCGGTAGGCGGGGGGGGGGGGGGGTGAGAGAAGAGACTGTAGATTTTTAGAATTAATCAAGTAACAGAAAGTATTGTGAACGGCACTCATAGACAGAAGTAGAAAGATAGAAGAACACACTTGACAACATAAAAATCGAAAGCTATAGTTACTGTGCCGGGAATTGAACCTGTCACCTCCAGACGGCGTCTGCGCCTCGCCATGAATACAAGTGCACTAAAATACATGGTCAACTCGGCACCCCCTAAAAAAGGTGTCTCATTGCCATATCGTACAGCTTGAAATCCACGACTATGGAATACGGACAGAATTCATTTCAACCCATTGAAATGGCACCATAGGTTACAGAAATGTATATTAACGAAGCAAATGTCGAATAACAATCACAGCAACAATTTACTAACACAGTAGACCTTATGCTTTGTCTAGAATACACAAACATTAAAGAAAGGTATTTGATTGGTAGGTTCCGGTGTGTATACGTCATTCCTATAAATAAACAGAGGGGGGAACCATTTGAGGCCGTTCACAATACTTTATGTTACTTGATTAATTCATAATTTTTAACGGCCTCAAATGGTTTCTCCCTCTGTATATTTTTAGGTACTTTAGTCACCACAAGGAGGGAATTCCGCGGGTCACGGCACAGCCCGCTTTTCAAGGGGAGTTGTAGACTGAGTGTATCGGTTTGTAATATTGGTAATTAAAGCCTTCTCAGCCTTCAAGTAGGATACGGACATTGCGTATATTATTGGCTGCACTCTCTTGTGGGACGTAGGCTGAGGCTGTGGGTTAGGGGGCTTTTGGTTAGGGTTAATTCTAATACACACTCAAGACGTAACCTTGCAAATCCAAGACGCGAGGTTCGCGGTGGCACAGAAAACCCGGTCTTAACACCCCTAACATATTGGACTCTACCGGATGTTGGGATTTCCCAACGTTTGCAGTGAATTATTATTAAAGAAATAATAATAATTATTATTTTTATTACCACCACTACTGTGAGCTGAATGGTAAATAGATATCATAATATACTCGTAATAATATGCAATACATAAGCAATTGCTTCAAAAGAGACTGTCTATACATGACTGGGGTGTGAGGTAGTCACACACACAAAGAAAGAGGGAGGGAGGCCTTAGCTGCCCTCCACAATTTGTTTTGTTTTTAGAGAAAAAGTGGGGTGGGGGTTCAAGGCGTCTGAGCTCCCAGGTTTCGGTGCGATCCACCCACCCCTTGCCCCCCCCCCCCTCTTTGGCCCCCCCCCCTCACCTCAACCACCCCAGACCTGTGTTTGTCATATGACAAGTGGACGCACACTTACCCTGACTCCGTGAGATTGCTTGTTTTTGTGCCGATCTGTGTGGAATTTCTGGTTAACTGTTCGGGACTCGCCTGTTAAAATTCAACATAAACCGTAATATAAGGTTATTAGTCATTAGTAATGTTATCTTTTTCTTATA